AACCTAATTGATTTCTATCATGGTAAACTTCGATTTTGTTTTGTCTTTTCAATTTTGCATCGGTTTAGGGTGGTCCGGATCTGCTATGTGGTTGGATGGTTGGTTTTGGCTGGTAGGTCAGGAGGATTCTGCTAGGACGACTCAGGTCGGTGCTGGAGTTGAGGCTCTGTAACCAGGGTTACCGTAGGAGCTTGAGGCCTGGGGAGTTATGCCTATCAGTGTGGCATAACCAGTGGGTTCGACGAAGTCATTGCCGGGGGTGTTCCCCTGTAACTGTGGGGCTTGATGACTTTTGAGGAGTAGTCGAGGGTGGAAGACACTTCTTCCGTGAGAACAAGGTGGACCGGTTCTGGGGTAGCGGTGACGCCCTGTCACCCTAGCATGAGGGGGTTTGAGGCCTGCAGCCTTTTTGTACGAGGACTGATGGCCTCCACCTTCCCTCCTTTTGCTTAGCAGGTCCTAGTCTGTCCTGACCGTTTGCCCTTAGTGTATAGGGTAAGAGGAAGGGGGTGGCTAGAATCGGGTTTGAAGGGCTGGGGTGGGTTGGGGTGGGATCAGGCAGAGGGAGAACCTATCGTTTAGGGTAGTAGGCCTACGAGAAGGGCGGGGTGGGATGGCACTGGCCGGTGCTGGAGCATAGCTCTGTGACCAGGGGGAGCTGGAGACCATTGAAGTTATGCCGAGGGTAGAAGGCATAACCATCCCGTTCAACGTAGTTGTAGCTGGGGCGGTGACCCTGTAACCTGAGGAGCTTGACAGTTCAGGAAGTTGTCGAGGGAGGAAGGCACTTCTTGCCGGTCAGAAACAGTCAGGTCGGTACTGGGGTAGGTAGTGTTGCCCTGTAACCTTAACGAGAGGGGTATGAGATCTGATGATTTCGGGCACGAGGGTCGAAAGCTCGAGCGGTGGTTCTTCGTCTGTGGTGAGGGGAGAAGATGGTTGGTTAGTGGTTCTAGTTCGTATCCCCTTTCTTTTGCTTCCTGAATATTCTCGGAATATGGTCATTGGCAGTTACTAATTTTTTAGAATTTCTCAGAATTATCCAAAAGTTGCAATCCGTTCTTAAAAAAGGGGGGTAGTCTGTTTTGTCCTAAGAAGGTTTTCTGGATCCTGGGGATTCCTGACAACTTTGTTTAGGTGGCTTCGAGGCTGTAATACTCAGTGACCTGAGGCTGTTCGATGCCAGAACGACGTTGGCCGGTGTTGGGGTGTTGCCCTGTAGCCTRCTGATGCAGGAGCATGAGGCCTGGTAGAGAGATCTGGGGGTGCTTTGGGGGGGCATTCCACGGGACAACCAAGGGTTGCTGCTGGGACGACGCTGGTCGGAGCTGGGGTGAGTTGTGTTGCCCTGTAACCCAGCAGGATGGGGGGCATGAGGCCTGGTAGAGCTCGGCAGGGAGTAAGACAGAGTTGGAGAACCTTGGAAGGTTTTGTTAGGTATTGTTCGGGTATTGGGGCTTTTGTAGGACTTCTGCAGTCTATTCCCATAACCTTTTCTCAGTAACGGGCAGGAAAGGGATCGAGGTGAGAGAGAGAAAGATATCACGCATCCTACTAGTGAAGGGGCTAGCTGGTAGGACAAAAATAGGGCATAGCAGCAACAGAGATGCTGACTTTGCTGCAATAAGTCTTGCCGGAGTGAGGTAAAGAGGACAGATGGTGGATTCTTAAGTCATTTTCTGAATATTGTCTAACTCTGAAGTTCCTTGCAAAAAAACGGTCTGAAGTAGCTCCAAAACTCTTAGTAGGTTTCTAGTCTCATTTTCATGGAATTTTCTGATGACTTTTCTGAACGTGCTCGTTATGGGACGCTGGGCCSGGTTCCCAGYTTGTGCCAATTTGTGAGGATATGGYTGTATCTATGGGACGCTGGACCCGGTTTCCAGCAGGTGATGCTCCCCACCAATAGATGGAGCTTGTGTTTTTTTTAAAAAAAAAAAAAAAAAAAAAAAGTTTGCTTCTGATAGATTCACATTTCTGAATGGTTGAATCATATACAAGTTCCTCAATCCATGACTTTGAGGGTATCCATCACTTGTTCTCCTAAGTGTTCTTTCCAACGATTGAATTACATCGACTCTCCGATAATCCAAATTCTTTTTGGTATTATCATTGTATTATCATTGTTCTCTAGTCGATTTGTCAAGGTCTCGAGATATTTTGTTCCTTAAATTTTGACTTATTTTTTCGTCCGTCAGAGTTGCGTTAGGGTCTAAACAAGGGCCCCATGGGGTAGTCAAACGAAGTATCCTGTAGGGTTTTGGAGATTGCTTGGAAGCCGGGAAAGGGGCATGAAATGATTCTTTGCAAGGACGGAGAGGGGATGGAATAGGGTTGCTTGACGGGTACTAGCTAGGGGGAGCTCTAATCAGATGCGATTGGCGCTGCCCAATGGGTACAGGCTGATGTGGGTGACCTCTGGCACAATTGGCGTTGGGTAGCGCTTGTTCACCCCCTTGAGGACGGAGACTGGAGTTCTTGTGGGGGCAAGGAACTTCGGGGGATGATGGTGCTCACCCCCTGATGAGAACTGGTTCTCTGAAACCCCTTACGAGGACGGAGTGAGGAAGTGACTGGGATGGAGGGAGTGAGGGTGGATGCGATTGGCGCCAAGTATCTTGGCGGGTACCGGCCACTTGCTATTACTAGCATCACCATCATCATCACATGAGGGATGCTGAGCCCGGTTCTCAGCATGTTCGGTTCGGTTACTCCGGGTAGACTGTGAGGACCCCGACCTCAATCTTCATTTGAATAATTTAAAAAATAATAAAAAATAAAAAATATTTTCTTTCGATGATGGAGGCATGTTTTTTTAGGTTGACTGTTCCAGAGGTTGCATGTTTTCATATCTTCCAATTTGACCTATCAGTAGGATCGTCCCTGCTCAGTTAATCCCCTGGTTTCCGGGGCAATCAATGCTGGCAGGGGGAGGTCTTCTTAATTTTTTCAAGAAAAGGTGAGAGGTGGAAGCATACGGTTGGATATTAAGCGTCCAACTAGTGAGGGGGCTAGCTCGTAGGATGGAATTAGGGTACAGCAGCAGCGAAGATGGTGGCTTTGTTGCAGTAAGTCTTGCCGGAATGAGGTAAAGAGGATTGATGGGGGGGTTCTGAGTCGTTTTCTGAACTTTGCCTAAATTTCTGACATGGCCTCAGTTTCTGAAACTCTTATACTTCTATGTAAATTTTCACATGGGACACTGGGCCCGGTTCCCAGCACTTAAAAAAAAAA